ACGCGGGTTTGGTCCTTAAGCGGGCCATGTTTACGCAATTTCGATGCAAAAAGACGCGGGTCTGGTCCTTAAGCGGGCCATGTTTACGCAATTTCGACGCTAACAAACGTGGGTTTGGGCTTAAGCGGGCCATGGCTACGCAATTTGGTCCTTAAGCGGGCCATGTTTACGCAATTTCGATGCTAAAAGACGCGGGTTTGGGCTTAATTAAGCGGGCCATGTTTACGCAATTTCGATGCTCAAAGATGCGGTTTTTGCCCGAAAACGGCAAGCTTAAACGGGTCCGCGTTAAGAAGGCAGAGGAGGGGGGGTCGGTGGAGCGCTTTAAGGCCAGCCTTGAAAAAGGAAAGTTATTATGTGGACTTGGCTCCAGCGCTCTATGCGTGGCCTGCTTTGGGTTGCGCTATTTGCATCGAATAAGGAAAAGCCATGTTTACGCTATATTCGTGCCCAAACGCTCTGCGGACGCGCTCGTGCATTCACCAATGCGACAAATGTATGCAAATATAGTGGCTGTGTCATTAAGAATACAAAAACGCGCAGCGCCGCAGCGCGCTGCGAGCGTGCTGCGAGCGCGCTGCGAGCGCGCTGCAAGCGCGCTGCGGGCGCGCTACGAGCGCGCTGCGAGCGCGCTGCGCGGACGCGCTGTGGACGCGCTGCGGGCGCGCTGCGGACGCGCTGCGGACGCGCTCGTGCATTCACCAATGCCATTCAAATTGAAATATGACTGCTCTTTTATACTATACTGGCTGTGCGCATGCTTCATAGTCTTGTTTAGCCCAGCGCGCTGCGAACGCGCTGCAGACGCGCTGCGGGCGCGCTACGAGCGCGCTGCAAGCGCGCTGCGCGGACGCGCTGCGGACGCGCTGCGGGCGCGCTGCGGACGCGCTGCGGACGCGCTCGTGCATTCACCAAGGCCATTCAAATTGAAATATGACTGCTCTTTTATACACACTACTGGCTGTGTGCATGCTTCATAGTCTTGTTTAGCCCAGCGCGCTGCGAACGCGCTGCAGACGCGCTGCGGACGCGCAGCGGACGCGCTGCGGACGCGCTCGTGCATTCACCAATGCCATCAAACTATATATGACTGCTTTGCAAATACGGGCTGTTAAAAAGTATTGGCTGTGTCCTTCAATACGTTACTATAGTGTCTTGTTTAGCCCAGCGCGCTGCGAACGCACTCGCGCATTTACCAATGCCATCAAACTATGACTGCTTTGCAAAAACGGACTGTAAAATACTGGCCATGTCCTTCAATAAATATAGTCTTGTTGAGCCCAGCGCGCTGCGAACGCGCTGCAGGCGCGCTGCGGACGCGGTGGCCATCACCTAGATTTAGTTTCTCGAAAAGCAGCCCGTGAGGAGGTATGGCGCTAGCAGTGAAATAGTTGGCTATACAATTAATGGGCATCACGGCATCAACCAAACTTTTCTACCTTTGTGGAGGATATGTCTGGCTGTAGGTTGTGTTACATGTATACAAAAGCGCGTTTTTCTACCTTTGTGCCCTTTACATGCCTATGTCATTGTGTGCAACCCTGATTACTATATGTTTTTTCAATCAAAGAACAATTGCTCTTTCTTCAAGAACCGTGAGCGCTGACCTTTAGCACGTTGCTCATATACACATACGTCATAATGTAGTTACTGGTAGTTTGATAGGTTGGATTGTGTTTCTGTACTGTTATTGTTTCACATGTTTGACACAAGAGTTGTTTTTGTGTTCTTGCATCAATATCACCGCATCGTCGTTGGATGTGGCCTCATCAAATTTCTTACAAAATGCGCCATTCTCAATACGGGCACCCGTAACCTGTATGTGTATATATATATATGTAGAGATAGATAGATAGATAGATAGACAGACAGAGAGATAGATAGATCTTCCTGAAGGCAAAACCTTCTGGCTAGAAGCAACACCACGGTTCCGTTTTGATGAAGAAAGAGAGAGACGGGGAGAGAGAGAGAGAGAGAGAAAGAGCGCCAAGAAGAGTGGGTTGATAGGTTACCAAATGGAGTTAGCAAAACTCTATGCTCCATTTCAGTGAAATGCAGCGATATGCGGCGATTCCACCCCCCACATGCCTATTTGGCAACCTATCCAGCATGAAATCTGTCCACATATAATATGAATATTATTGTGTACATTACAGTATAAGTATACTTCTATTACTTCTGTAAACAATCACCTCAACTGATGCTGTGCTTCACCTTGTGAAGTTCGAGTCAAGACGACTCCTATGGTGCTTTGCACCAAGAGGTCGCCGCAATGTGAGACGCAACACTCTCAGCTACGATGGGCCTGGTAACGGCAGATTGCAATGCTCTGCACATGTTGGACAAAATTGCTAGCTTCATGCCATGCCATACTATAGAGCTCTTATGCACGTAAGCCTTCAATGACCAGTTACATCTTTCAACTCCAGAAACTTCGGGCAAAGTCAGCATGCTATGATATGATATGATATGGGTAATATGGGTGTGTATTGAAACAGGGAGATGGGAGACCGTCTAAAGACCCCCTGGAAGAAGGAAAATAGACTAAAGCCCATTTGGTTGGGTGATCCCTATTAAAATACACTCCCATATAACTATACGCGACAACCCCCTACAAGGGTTCAGCCACGCCATTGACTCGACATCTTTCACTCCAGTGATTATAGAAGGATGGTTGTGTTTCTGCTCATCTTTCCCAAATGCAGACCAGTCACCGTCATCACTCCGGCTGTGCCAGCGGGGCAAGTCCAATGGCTTCCATGGTGTAGCCTCGGTCAACAAATTGTCACTGAAATACACCAAGGGTGTGCTAAATAAGGGTAGGTAGGACACTTATATATATATATATAGTTTCGCAGTGTCCAATCAGAATAAGGAAGCACAACGAAGCTTCATAGTTTCTTGCAGAAACTAAAATTACAAAGAAATGTCACATTGACATTGCTTGTACTTGGCTTGGCTACTCTCTTCGCCAGTCCCTCACGTGCCATCAACTGGGGCACCGACAAGAGGCGGTAGTGGTTGCACCGTCAAAAGAGCCACTGAACATGTGATACGTGCCCTGGTTTCTCGTCCAGTTCTTCTGGCGCCTTGCACAGTTGGATGATGTTATATTTCAACGCGCAAAAGGTGATTCAATTTGGCTCCACCACCAGAATCGTCAAATAACTTGCTCGAACAATACCCCAAATCTGGCAAGGCACATAATATTGATGCTGTCCTGCACAGCGCGCAGAAGTTGAAAAAGGTGCAGTGAGGAGTAGGGTAG